TGAGGGGTTCTAACCACCAATCTTTGCTTAGAACTATAGTCCTTATCAGGACTTGTTAGCCAATTGCATAGAGGTTAAGAAACATAACACCTATCTTGGAGGACACCGTTCAATATGTAACATTACACTTCAAGGAGCTAGTCTATTTTAAGCGTGTGTCTTGTCACAGGCCAGGTTTTGAACTGAGAGCTCTGTGGGATTATCTCCTAACAATGCTATGTGCTAAGTACTGTTAATATCCCTGCTTCCCAGGGAACTGAAACAGAGACTAACCTACCGTCTGACTCCTTGCTTATTCAGTCAGAACTAATTCAGAGCTCACCCTCCATTTCTCAGGCTGTAAATCACATGGGAGCAGATTGCCTAGCTTTCTCCTGTGGAGTCGCTGGTGGATTCTAAACGCCACAGAGGCTTGGCCTTCGGGTTAGCAGCACAGCTCCATGACAGACTATTCCATCAGCGCTGCCTGGAGGAAAGGAGTTCAGTAGATTGTCCTAAAGTCACTTTGATAAGTAGCGGAGGCAGAGTTCAAACTCAAACCATTTGACTTTAGGATCTATGTTCTTAACTCCTACACTACAGATACTGGAGTCCAGAACCAGTAGGACAGATTTCTCAGATCACCTCATTTGAGATCAATCCATCTTTTGAGATCTTGAAATTAGATCGTCTCATCCTACATCAGAGTGGGCCAGTACCATTGATGCTGGTTACTCAGACCCTATGTCACACTATGCTTGGTGTCGGTCATGACATTCCTGACCCCTTCAACACAGAAGAGCATGACATCTCTTTTCTTAATACTGCTCTTACGTTCTTCTCCTTCCTTGAGCTTCCTATCTGGCAATACCCTGACCACTCTGATCATTTTAAAAACTAGCTTTGTACTGACTAGCCATGTGACTAGGTGGAAGAGACTCTTGCGCATCAAACCAGTTTCCTCATTTCTAAAACCCAAACCAGTGCTGAGCCATGGTGATCCATGCATATCAAGATGCGCATAGAGTTACGACTGATGGGGTTTTGAATGGCTGGGGTTTTGGGAAGTAGATTGCCAGGTCTTTCTTCAGAAGCACCTCTGTTGGACTCAGTTCTCTATGCTTCTGATTCACCACTGGGCCCTTTACTGCTTTCATCCCCCAAGGACTTTCCTGACTTCTATAAGACACAGGCTGTGTGGTGTTGTGGTGGATAATGAGGTAGCATGGAGAAGTGTTCAGCATGGAGCCTTACACACGGTAAGAATTCTAATGTTTACTCTTCATTGCCCAGCATAGAGTTTTTTGAGAATCACCAAATGTTCCCTACAGGTGGACATTAATATTTTATGTGAAACCTAATGCAACCCTGTAACGTTTTTTGCCCTCTCTTTGTTGGTATAGATCAAAATGATAATTCTTTCTCGCTTGCTCTCCTCTCTGCATATTCCTTCCTCATACCTTTTACTTTTTACCTCATTCTATTACTGTCCATCTGGACTCACAGTGATCCTACAGCAGTGACAGACTCATAGTGACCCTGAAAGTTCCCAGTTCAAACGCATCAGCCACTGTGTCAATCACTTCCATAAAGATTATAGCTTCTTCTTCTTGTTGTAATGTGCTGTCAAGTTGCCTGTGACCCATAGTGACCCTGTGTACAGTAGCTCTCTGAACCCTGCCCTGTCTTGAACCAGTCTCACTAATTCTGACACACTATTCCCCATTGCCCCAGTTTCTCTATCAATCCATCTCATTCGGGGTCTTCCCTCTCCTGTGCTGTCCCTCCACCTTCTGAACATAATGTCCTTCTCCAGGGATTGGTCCTTCCTGCCCACATGCCCAAAGTGTATGAGATGGAGCTTCAAAATCCTGGCCTCCAAGGAGAAACTTGGCTTCATCCTCTAGTTTCTAGGGCTGTTCTATTCTATCCTACAGGGTCACTATGAGCCATTCATTCATTCATGATTTATAGCCTGGAATTGGCCAGAAGTCTCCCCTCCAAAAGGTAGAGCAAAGAATGTACTACATAGATGAAGTTATCACTGTGTAAGGCAAACTGGGGTTTACTAGCTAAACCACCATTTATATTCTGATCAGGCTTAAGAATCAGTACCTTAAAAGTGACACAAGCAGCAATCTTAGACTATCAGGTTGGTGGGAAATGATGACTAAGTACCATGAGTTTCTGGTAACTCATAATAATTACGGGGAAATTTTAAGAAATAGAGATGTATAGGCAGGAAGATGCCCCTAGCAGTTAACACAAGTGGCAAGAAATAGCAAATCTTAGATAGAATTGACTCTGATTCCCATGAAGGAAAGTGATTTATTCACATGATCACATTTAGTCAATTTAGTAATCCTATTTCATGGAAATAAACTATATTAGCAGATGAAGACAAGGGAGTAAAACACAAAGTATAACATTGGCAATGAGAAGGTAAGACCATTTTAATGTCAAGATGAATTTGTATACAAAGAAAACTAACCAACCAACTGGGAACTTCACAGGACAAAAAAAAAAGGAAGTCTACATGTTGGTTGGTTACTAGAATATGCAATGGTTCGTTCACGTGGTCACTTAGAAAGCACAATGTAAGATAGCATACCCATCAGCCACTCAAAACACCAAGAAACAGACTCAGTAGGAAATGCCCTGTACCTGTTTGAGGCATAAAACTAATAAAACTCTAACGAAGAACAGAAGTCTTAAGGAGAAAGATATTTATTTTTAAAGACAATTCAGCTTTGGAAAATGTTATCTGTATTCCATGTCTACACAAATTGCAAAAGAAGGTAAACATTTTGGGGAAAACTTGCCTAAATTTTTATTGTTAACCTGCAAAAAATATCATAGCTTGGAAACATGAAAAATGAACCCTGACACTATTGGAGAGGACCTTAAAATTTAGAAACTATTGCATAATATGCTGCTGCTATTAAAAAAGAAGAAAAAAAAAAAAAGAACAATGAAATTGGCCCAGGAGTACTGAGATACCAGTATGCAACAAATGTGACATTTGAAATTAGCAGAAAAAAAAATTCAATAAATACTGCAATAATTAATTTACCAGGAGAAAAAGATAATAAACTTACTAGATCCCAGCATTGCTCAGTAGAAAATCTAAATGGAGAAAAAAATTAAATGTAGAAGTGAAACTACAACCTCAGAATACCAAAACCAAACATGATTAAAAATCTAGATCTTCCTGGCAAAAAGGGTTCTTCTAAGAACAGTGTTTAAAAAGTGCTATTTTTCCACCAGGTTCTGGCTAAAAAGTCAATTCACAATACATATTACACACCTTGCAAGTCATAAGAGCTCTGCTAGCCTAGTGGTAAGAAGCTGTGCTGCAATCCCAAAGGCATGCTGTTTGAGTCCACCAGCTGCTCCTTGGGAGCAGGGGCAATCTCCTTCCAGGTGGTTTACTGTCCCTGAAAACCTGCTGGAGGGTCCCTTCTAACTCAAGGGCACACAATCACCACCAAGTAAATGATTATACTAATTAAATCTCAACAAGACTTATTCCTTTTTTTTTTCAAATTTTCTTCAAATTGTTAGGTGCTGTCCAGTTGACTATGACTCACTGTGATTCTATAAACAACAGTTTGGAACCTTGCACTATGTACTAATAGAAATGGGGAAGTAGAGAGCACACTTCCATTTCCATCATTAAGGGCAAAACATTTTCAATGTTTATTTTGTTAATTAGGAAAACTGTATTGAAATTTTTTCCCACTTGTGTAAGCTAGACATTAACCCTTTGCTGGGCTCATCCTCACGAGTGTTTACATCCTGCAGGCTCTCTTAGGTTCTGGGGTCATGTGACCCACACCGCTACACTATACAGCCCTTCACCCCCAATTTATGCTAAAAGCCCTCAAGTAAACAAACTCTGGAGCTAAATCGGTCCTTTCTGAAACACTCGGAACAGTGCTCTGCACACTGGGTACTACATATGAGGAAAAAATGTAATTGAGCCATTCTTAAAGATGAGTTTATTTTTAGGATTATTTTAGAGCTTCCATAATCAGCAATTAGAAAATAAATCTGGTTAAAAACTATCATGGTTAATTATGAGAGACAGTTCAAGTGCTTCAATAAATAACCACAAAAATAAGGTTTAAAAAGATTTTATTTAAAAGTCTTGCTATGCAATGCACCATAAAAATAAAAAAAGGATATACATATTTACATTTTATTCATTCTATTAACTTGAATTCCATTTTAAATACAATTGTGCAAGGCCTTCACAATTTATTTTGTGATCAAGTATTTAAAAATGCTCCATATATAAACGCAAAAAACAAATATCAAGACTTGATGTTGTTGTTATGTGCTGTCGAGTCGCTTGCAACTCATAGCGACCCTATGTACAACAGCCCTAAACTCTGCTCTGTCCTGTGCCAATCACAGAGTCTCCGATACACCCATCCCGATTACCCCAATCACTGAATCAATCCACCTCATAGAGGGCCTTCCCCTCCTGCACTGTCCCTCCACCCTGCCAAGCATGATGTCCTCTCCAAGGATTGGTCCCTCCTTACAACATGTCCAAAGTATGTTAGACGGAGCCTCAGAATCCTTGTCTCCATGGAGCCGCCGGGTTTAACCCTTTCCCAGATGAATCTGTTAGTTTTCCTAGCAGTCCATGGTACTCTCAATACTCTTCTCCAGCACCAAGACTTGATACCGCCCCCCCCTCCAAAAAAGCAACATTCTAGTTCTTTAAATGGTTGGAAGACTAGAGCTAACACCTACTATATAGGAGCAGTCACGGTTACTAATCCAGTTAGATAAGACAGATTCATAGGATACAATGTTCTCCGTGTATTTGGTTTTATAAAAAGGAGACTGTGCAATCCTCAGATTAAAGGTTACACTGGTCTGAACAAATGCTTTGACAAACAAGTCACTTTGGTTACTTGAGCTAAGATTCAATTTCTGAATTCACGATCCTTTCATAAAATCAAAGCAAAAACACTGTCAAGATACTCTAATGCTGGTAATAGCTGCCTTTATGATAAGTCTTTGGAATCTGCTGGAAGCCTATAACCAATCAAGGACTCTTTTCCACCATCATCCACAAGCAGGTCGACCAGCACATGGGGTTTATCATAACCAAACGAGGTGGTAGTGTTTCTTATTGTCACAATACTGTCTTGTACTTCTGTATTGATTTCTGTTTCAGGATTTGTGGGACATTCCAAGTCAGATACGAGGCTGTCCGATTCCACCAGGCCACTATCAGATCCATTTCTGGAGTGATACAAGTTTAACGTGTCACTGCCCGGTTCAGACTGGTTGCTACTTGACTGAAAAGAATTCTCTCTCCTTACTGGAGTCGTAGCACTTCCTGGGAGAACGTCAGAGCTATTTTCTTCAATAATTACCACTTCTGTTTTACTAGAACTGTCGTCCGTGGGCTCCACTTTTTCTGGGTCACCTCTCGTGTGCATGTCTGAAACTGTGGCTGTAGACAACTGCTCTTCACTGACCCCTTTTTCACTCTCCAGGGCAACAGGCTGGTAGGACATGATGAGCGACACATATTTTGATTCAGGTTTTGTCTCTGAAGTGGCATGTTTTACGACAGAGAGCTAAGGAGAGACAAATATGTTTAACATAATCAGAAAAAAATAGTAAATTAGAGAAAGCATGGGTTTTCATTTATTTATTGATACACATTTATTCCCCTTCTTTTTCACTTTGTAATACATGTCTTGTTGTCAGACTGTCCATGGTCACATTCACAATGTCTAATCATCCCACTCCTTCAGACAGTCCTTCCCTTCTCATGTTTTCTGTAAATTTTCACTAAACAATTAAAAAAGCCTCAACAACAACAAAATCAATGAAATGATCTTAAAAAAAGGACCTAAGGGTAATGGACCAATACATATACTATTAAATGGCACATTTAACAACATATCATTAAAATAAATCAGGTCATTGCTCCGTGTTTTCTTTGTTTTTAATGAAAAATTACATATGAATTAATTTTTTAAATTGTGATTTTAAAAACAGTTTATATCAAGTTAGATTTCCATTCATCCACTGTTGAACCTTTTCCTTCCTACCCACCCCAACAGTTAACTTTTTTAAAAAAACTTCATCCATTGTTACATAATTTCCTCCACCCACCCAGCCCTCTTTGCTATGCACCTCTTATTCTGGATGGTTGTTAGACAAATAATGCCTAATCAAATATTCCTTTTAAATAGTTCTTTCCTTCATCTGTTCCAATGCAATGTTCATTGTGATTTATCCTCTCTTTTCTTGGTTTCCCCTCACTCCCCCCATGTCAGTCTTATTGGTGTTATGCAGTATTTGTCCTTCTGTGACAGATATTTCACTCAGCATAATGTCCTCCAGGGTTACCCATGATGCATAATATTTTATGAGTTCCTTGTTTTTCAGTGCTGCATAGTATTCCATTGTGTTAATATACCATTGTTTTCCTATCCATTCATTTTTTTGATGTGCACTTGGGTTGTTTCCATTTCTCTGCTATGGTTAATAACATAGCAATAAACATGGACATGCATATATCTCTTCGGGTGTTTTTAATGACTTTTCAAAAGTCAACACATATCTTATAAGCATATATCCTTCTATTTATAATTACCTTTCACATGTGTTCTTGTTAGTTATAACTGAAGTATAGCTACTTACAGAATTTTTACTACTTGCCTTCATCTTTATAATTTTCAGTGGCTCACATTATGTCTTTATACTGATGACTATCATTTCTTTATGCATAGATATTAATGTACTCACAATCTTCACTACTACTGAACATGCTGAAGTGCATATTTTAATTTAAAAAATTATTTCCTTAGAATATAATCCTAAAGGCAGAATTACAGAGGCAAAGGTGAGGGACATCTGTGACTCTTCCTTCCAGGGCATTATAGAGTGAATTATGTTCTTCTTAAAATAAGTGTTGTAAATATTAACCTCTGCGCCCATGGCTTTAATCTCATATTGTGAAGAGGTGGTCTTTTTTTTATAGTAATAAGACGAAATTAGTACAAGGTGTGTTTCTAATCAGCATCTTTTTCAATATAGAAAGAGATTAACCAAACAAGCCAGAGAAGCAGAGATGTGCCAGAGAGGTACGAAGCCACAGGAAGACGGGCCGGAGAAGAAGCTCTAAGACACAGGACCTGCCTCCAGAGCAGACAGAAAGCTTTCTCTTAGAGATGGAAACCTAAATGTAAACTTTTAACCTACTAAACGGTGAGAAAATACATTTCTGTCTGTGAAAATCATCCCTTGGAGTATTTCAGTTATGGCAATGCTAAACAAGTCACTGAGATTCAGTACACTATTGAGTTTTCACCAGCATACATCTGCTTTCTTGCCACTTGTCATGCTGAATATTCAGGTTTGTTGTTCCTTCTAAAGTGGCTGCAAAATGGCAGACAAGATTGTCTTGTATTTAATTACAGAGAAGGATGAATATTGTATTAATTATTGATAGTTTTGATCCACTGTATTTAAAGGTAGTGTTTTTATAGGGAATTTAAATATGTGCTTTGTAAATTGTAGATATTATGCCTCCGTCAAATTTGAATCAAACAGCTGCCATACGAAGGCTTCTAAAATGTTAAGACATTAAAATGTCAAACTACTATTTTAGTCTCATTTCTTGCCATCTTTCCTTTTTTACTCCAGCTATAACGAAGTGTTTCTGTATTTGCAGATCTTCAAAAGCAATGCTTTCCTGATTCTGGGTCTTAGAATAAGACATCCCTTAGAAGTGGAAAAGCTACCTGTCCTTCTGGATTACTCAGGTCTTGCTCCCTGAGGAAAGCTAATTAGGTACTAAGGCCTAGCCAGGCATTCACTGCCACATATATAAACCTCTACGTTGAACTTATCACACTGTACCTTCATTATACACTTACCTTTCTTTCCTACTAGACTTTACTCTCCTTAAAAGACTTGTTTAAATGTATCTTTACTGGTGCATAAAAAAAAGGAACCTTATAGAGAAAAAAGATGTGTGGTTTTGGTATATGCTAAATACTTTATACATTATTCTACCAATCTAAGAAATTGTCAAAAACAAGATAGCAAATTACCATATAGAATTTAAAAAAATATTTAAATGAATTACCAAGGATTTGGGTAATGCGATATTTTTTCTCTTAAAAGGGTTAATCTTCTTAATCTGACAAAATGCAATGAAGGTGATCAATCCTACAAAGAATAGGACAGCGCAAGCAACTGGAATCCACAGAGAATCTGAAAGAGGAAAACCTAAAATAACCACAAATTAGAATTAGTCGGGAGAAGGGCTATAGTTGCTTCTCATTATTCATAGTACTTATCATCTATAAAGTCACTATGAACACCAAATCACTAAAACTATTGAACCACTGCTTCTAGGAGAACTACAGCGTCAGGTTCCTGAAAGCTTCTCTCTGGTCCTAACACTCATCAACTGACTGATGCACACCCTGCCTTGTTAGGTGTCTGTCTTTAAAGATAGCCTATTGAATCTCTATTACTGAATCACTAACAATGACGTCATAGCCAACAGTGCTACGACTCATGCCTGAATGAAGTATATAAATACATGTTTTTTGGCATCTCCTCTGTGAGGTACATCTGAGACTTCTTGTGCTTAAGTAGACTACGACGCAGTATGTTGGCACTCTGGTTGGAATAATTTTCAAACTGTAAAATCAACAAGTACAAAAAAATTTAGAAAAACATGGGGCTAAATATATTGTTAAGGTCACATGTTGTCAGAATAACAGCAGGAATGGGAAGTACCGTGTTAACTTGTTAAGAGACATCTCAGCCCAGAGCATATATGTTGGGTAACTCAAAATTTTTGTTCTGCTTCAGTCCATGAATAACTGTGGAAGCAGTTATAAGGTACTGATACTGGAGTTAAAAAGAATGTTTTTATTGACATTAGTTTTTGCATATATGCAAATTTGAAAATATGGAGCCCTCAAACTAGGACTTCTATCCAAAGAGTCTTAGTGATGTTCTTGAACAAGTCAAAGTCATTGCCGTCAAACTAGAACTGACCCACAGCAGTCCCTCTAGTGGGTTTGTGAAGCTGTAAACCGTCCAGGAGGAGGCTGCCTAGCTTTTTCCTGAGAAGATGCTGGTGGGTTCAAACTGTTGGAGAGGCTCAGCCCTTGGGTAAGCAGTGAAATTCCCTACAGATTACACCACCAGAGCCCGAATCTGAGCGAGTTCATAGCTGACCCTCTAGTGGGTTTTCAGAGGCAGTAAACTGCGTGGGAAAAGAATACCCATCTTTTTTCCTGTGCAGTAGCTGGTGGATTTGAAGTGCATGCATTGGGCTGGCAGCAGAGCTCCTTACTCACTAATTGGTCAGAGTTTTAAAGAACTGAAACAGAACTCAAGTCATCTGAGCAAAAAAATTAGGAATCTTTTCTACGTTATCAATCCAGAGTTAGGCTCTTCTCTGACAGCTTTGTCTTCTGGGATACACAATTAACACCCTTGGTACAAACAGTCAGGAAATAAGGAGATGTACTGCAATGGGAAAATCTGCAGTCAGTTGGAGGACTAACGTGAGTCTGATTCAGGCCGTGGTCTTTCTGATTACTAACTATGCATCTGAGAGCTGGATAATGAATAAGGAAGGAAAAAAAAAAAAGAACTGACGTCTTTGAGCTGTAGTGTTGGAGAAGAGCACTGAACATCCCATGGATGGCCAAAAGAATGAACAGGTATGTCTTGGAGAGGGTACAGCCAGAGTGCTTTTTGGAGGCAAGAATGATGAGGCTTCATCTCACATACTTTGGACATGTTACTAGGAGGTGCTATTCCTTGGAGAAGGACAGAATGTTGGAAAGGGTGGAGGGTCTGCGAAGGAGAGGAAGACCCTCAACCAGGTGGATTGATACACTGACTGCTGCAATGGGCTGTTGTGTGTCAGGAAGTGTTGAGGATGGTGTAGGATAGAACAGGGTTTAGGTCTTTCGTTCACAGGGTCGCTACGAAGCTACTTGACTCAACGGCACCTAACAACAACAGCTCAGTTCTTTTAGAATAAAAAAGAGTTATAAAATATAGTTTTAGAAAAATTTATACATTTCTAATTAATAATTTATCTCAACTCCTTGAAATTTTCTGTTCCCTTTTTTATTTCAAAATTGCAAATACTTATAAAAAATGTTGTTACGTGCTGTCGAGTCACCTGCAACTCACAGTGACCCTACGTACAAAAGCTCTGAAGCCTGTTCTGTCCTGAGCCAGTCTCACTAATTCCAGCACACCAACCCCCATTGCCCTAGTTACTCTATCAACCCATCTCATCTGGGGTCTTCCTCTCCTTTGTATGTGAGACAGACAAATACACATAAAAGTTGCATAGGAATAAAGTTCCCTTGAAAGCAAACTAGGTATAAAGAATAATGTAAATTAGGGAAGATAAATTATTAAGTAATGTGTTTTAGGAGTCCTGGTGGTACACTGCACAATATATTGGGCTGCTAAAAGATCAATGATTTGCATTCATTAGCACCTACACAGAAGAAAGATGGGCAGCCACTTCCCATATACTGAGAGCCTCGGAAACCTGATGGAGGGCCACTTTGCTTTGGAATGGACTCAATAACCACGAATTTCTTTTCTTCTAATGCTTCTTTTCATTTTCTTAGTATCATCTTCAGTGCTTTTCACTGTCCTGCCTTCTAAATTAACAGCACTTAATACCTCAATGGGAGCCCTGCTGGCCCTAGTGGTAAAGAGCTGCAATGCTAACCCAAAGGCACATGGTTCAAGCCCACTAACTGCTCTGCAGGAGAAAGATGGGCAGTAACCTCTCATGTGATTTACTGCTTCTAAAAACCAGCTGGAGGATCAACCATGAGTGAGTGGGTCTGACCCAACAGCACCTAACAACAAATAAATGTACCAGGGTGATGCTTGACTTGCTTTGTAGAATTATATTACCTCTAATTTATATTCCAAAAGGTAAAATAACTAAATAACTAATACCTAGTGAGAAGTTTCGACTACTGAAAAAGTGCAGTTTTGAGGCACACACAAACAGGCAGAAATTTTCGCGTGAGGCGCCACCATGTGGCCACAATATCCTCCCAGAGTAATACAGATTTAAAACCAACCTGGAGATACTGGCATTATTTCAAATTTTGTGCATTAAGTAATATTTTATTATTTACATTATGCCACTTTAGAATATGAGTTCTAAAGTTCTATTTTCTTTTTCCCTGACACCTAATGAAAAGATGTCAATGAGGAAAAATTAGAAATGTTTGAAAAATGACCCATAATCATTATATAACTGATATATATATTTATAAACATCTAGTCCTTCTCCAATTAATATATTACACAGTTTTAATTAATGAACATTCTTTTTATTCATTTTTTAAGTTAACTCTCATAAAGGAGATTTTAATGGATATATGACATCATATATTAAAGTAACATACCAACTTCTTATGCTATTATGCACATCTCTGAAATGCTGACCTTTAGGTACTTGGCTTTATTTATTAATTATATGTGTTTTTTTCCTTAGATAAACGTTCACTGTGTTGCTTTCCAAATAATTTATTTTGTGTCTTTTCATGTCCAAGGAATTGGCTCATTTTTGGTTAATACCTGGAACTACTGAATATTTTTAAAAGAGAAAAGAAATTTACTGAAATTAAAAATGGATTTCCTCGCCTCACATTATTCTACTTTTCCACCCCTGGATTTAGAATTACAAGACTTAAAGGAGGGGGATGGTAAGGATTACCTGGCTTCTCATTCCAAACGGTAATGCAATATTCTTCTGACTTTCCTGTTTTAACTTCGTAACTATCTGAGACACCGATTGCTGAAACACAGTACTCAGCATTTTCTGAGGATATTGCAAAGGATATCTGACACGGAGGCTCACTGCATGCTTCTGTTTCTGTCAATTCACGGGCCTACAAGGAAAAAAGAAGCAAAGATTCCCAATAAAAACGCATGATTTCTTGTAATCTGGAAACAAGTATCACCATTCTCATTCTGCCAAACACCTGAAGAAAACATATTTAGGGTGATACACTTCCTAAACAACATGCCTCTGGAAACTTTATGAACTTTGATAAATGACAATAGCTACAGAAAGGCTTCAGGCCTTTTGTTCATCGGGTTGCTTTGAGTTGTGCTTGACTTGAAGGCAATCAACAACACTTTATAATGAACATGCTTGAAAAAAGATTATAAAAGCACTGATATAAAAGTTAGTTATTAAACCAACAAATGTTAATTCTCCTTTGCTTATAATCTTAGCTCTTGAGAAAGTAAAACATTTTATAGTGTTAGGTGCCATTGAGTCAAGTACGACCCTTAGAAAGCTTATGAACAACAGATCTGAAACCCGTCCTATTCTGTGCCATCTTCACACTTCCTGACATGCTGGAAGGAGCCCACTGTAGCAGTCACTGTGGCAGTCACATGGTTGAGGGTCTTCCTCGCCTTCTACAATACTCTGCCTTTCCTAGCATCACGCCCCTTTCCAAGGAACAGCCCCTCCAAGAAACATGCCTGAAGTATGTAAGGGGAAGTGTTATCATATTTGCCACCAAAGAACACTCTGGTTGCACGTTCTCTATGACATATTTGTTTGTTCTTTTGATATTCAGTGCTCTTCTCCAACATCACAACTCAATAGTGTCAATTCTTCTGTCATCCTTATTGATTGTCCAGCTCTCAGATGCATAGCAAGTGGTCAGAAAGACCATGGCCACAATCAGATGTACTTTAGACTTCAAACTGACATTATTACTTTTCAGTAATATGGCGAGGTCCCTAATTGCATTCTTTCCCAGTACAATATGCCTCCTGATGTCCTGACTGCTGGTACTGAGAGTGTTGATTGTGGATCCAAGTAAGGTGAAGGTGCTGACAGTTTCAATCTCTCCTCCATCTTTCATGATGCTGCCTATCAGTCTAGTGGCAAAAATTTTCATATTCTTGACAATGAGATATAATTCATATTGAAGGCTGTATTTTTTTATTTTCTGCAAAAAGTGCTCCAGGTCTTCCTCACTTTCAGCAAGCAAGGTTGCATCATTTACATAACAGGTAACTGATGAATCTTCCTCAGATCTTGATGCCACATTCTTCTTCAGAGAGTCAAGTTCTCAAATAATTTGCTTAGCATACAGAGTGAACAGGTATACAGATTGAATAAACCCTGACACTCTTAATTTTAAACCATGCAGTGTTGCCTTGCTCTGTTAGCACACCAGCCTCTTGGTGTAGGTATATTTTTCACATGAGGATTCCCATTCTCAATGTTAGCTATAACTTGTTATGATCCACACAGTTAAATGCCTTTGCATAGTCAATAAGGCATAAACAGACATTCTTCCGATATTTTTTTACTTTCAGCCAGGATCCCTCTGGCATCAACAATATGATGATCAGAAACTTGAAATAATTTCATATGAAAACTAATAAAGCTGTTATGAAAAAATTGCAGAATCTTTGGCAATAGCAAGTAGGAGGGACTGAGTGGACCTTGATGTACATCATTCACTCAGCCAGCCAGTGTGCGTGGGCCACCCAGAGTGACAGGCATTAGATCTAGCCCTGTGCTAGATCCCAGAGACACACATATCAGAAAGCAGATTTGACCCTCGGGGAACTTACAATGTAGCACAGTGGAGAGATATGAGGTGTCAAAGAGAGTAATGAGTAATGCAAGATGCATCCTACATATAACTGCTGTGTTGTTGAATGCCATCAAGCTGATTGTAACACATGCTGTTGTTGTTATGTGCTGTTGAGTCGCCACTGACTCACAGCAACCCTACGTACAGCAGCTCTGAAGCCTGCCCAATCCTGAGCCCAGTCTCACTGACTCCAACACACTTACTACCCCCATTTCCCCAGTTACCATGTCAATCCAGCTCATCCAGCATCTTACTTTCCTGCGCTGGCCCTCCACCCTTTCCAGCATGATATCCTTCTCCAAGGATTGGTCCTTCCTGGTCACATGCCCACAATATATAAGATGAAGCTTCTCCTTGCCTCTAAGGAGAAATTTGTTTTCACCATTTCCAAGATGGACCTGTTTGTTCTCCTGGTGGTTCAATACTCTTCTCCAGCACCACAACTCAAAGGCATCAATGATTTTTCTGTCATCTTTAATCACTGCCCAGCTTTCTGATGCATGCAAGTAATTGAGAAGATCACAGCCTGGATCAGGCACATGTTAGTCTCTAGACTGACATTGTGATCCTCATATTCTGGAGAGGTCCATGACAGCAGATTTTCCTAGTGCAATTCGTCTTTTGACTTCCTGACTGTTGGTGTCAAGAGTGTTGATTACAGAACCAAACAAGCTGAAGCTGTTAACAATCTCAGTCTCTTCTCCATCTATCATGGTGGTGGCCATTAGCCCAGTGGTGCAAATCTCTGTCTTGATGTTGTGCTTCAATCCATATAGAAGACTACAGACCTTGACTTTCTGCAGAAAGCGCTTCAAGTCCTCCTCAGTTTCAGCAAGCAAAGTTGTGGCATGAGCATATGGCAGGTTGTTGTGACACACAGCCACCCTACAGGACAGAGTAGAGAAGCCTCATACATTCTTCTGGGCTTTATGGGAGCAAGACTGCCAGCTCTTTTCTCCTGAAAAAACCCTGATTGGTTTGAACTCCTGGCCTAACAATTAACAGCAAAGTGTTTGTGCCATCAGAGCTCCTTTTGTAAGGAGGATTAGCCCAAACACTGAAGACAGTCATCTATCACGGCCCAAAAGATTTCAAAGGGACAGTGATGACCCACTTAAATATAAATAATGAGCAGATATTTGTCAAATGAAAAGGGTGGTAAAGAGCACTTCATGAAAGGGCATGGTATTTTCAGGGAGCAATGAACAAAGTATGAAGCAAACTGTGGCATCAAGATTGGAGGAAGATTTCTTAGCAACCTCAAGTGGAGACAGAAGAGGACCTTCTATAAAAGATTAAACACTACAGCTTTGAATACAGATTACACTTTACTGTCTACAAAACAAAACTCACCACTGGATCAACAAGCAACATCAATATAAGTGAAAACTGAAGCTAAAAATAATTTAGTTTTACTTTGCTTCACAAACAACATCTATGGAAACAGTAGTCAAGAAATCAAAAGATGTATTACATTGGGCAAAGCTACTACCAACAAATTCTTTAAAGAGTTAAAGAGCAGGAGTATTACTTTAAAGACTAAGGTACATCTGGCCCAGGCCATGGTATTTTCAATTACTTTATGTGCATGTGAAATCTGGTCAATAAATAAGGAAGACCAAAGGAGACATTATGCCTTCGATTGTGATGTTGGTGAAGGAAATTGAGTGCATACTGTGGACAGCCAAACCTCCCCCCCCCCCCAGCCCTGGAACAAGGGAAGCTAGAGTGCTCCTTAGAAGCAAGAATGGTGAGACTTGGCCTTACACACTTTGGGTATGTTGTCAGGGGAAGCCAGTCCTTGGAGAAGGACCCCACACTTCTGGGGAGGGGAAAAGTCAGAGGAAGGAAGATCATCATTGAGATGGGTTGACAAAGTAACAATATTGGACTTAAACACAGCAGATAGTGAAGAAGGCACAGAATCAGATAGGGCTTTGTTCTGTTGTATACAGAGAAACAACGTGTCAGAGCTGACTCGATGGCCCCTATTAACAATAAAGAACAAGAAGTCTGCTATGGAGGAGAATATGGGTGTGAGTACACACGTAGCTGAAACTGGTGAAATCTGTTATAAGGTTTATTTATGCAATGACTAACATGGTAAAGTTTGTATTTTAGAAAGACTTCTCTGTTAGTGCCCAGAGGGATGTTATAAAATGTAAATAAAATTGTGGTCACTCTTCTGCTTAAAATCAAAAGATCCATCTCAGTGTAAAAGTCAACCACACAATGCTGTGTACAGCGTGGCCTTAGAAACCACTGACCTCAGCCGTTCTTTTTCTGCCTCACTTGCTGTCTTCTGGCTGTTCTGTTCTTATGCCTGGTGCAATCTTGCCAAGGCCTTGGCTCTGGTTGGTGTCGTCTTAAAACACATGCCCTGTGCCTATCCAGGAGCTCACTCTCTAACCTTTAAACCTTGGCTCCAATAGCTCGCCCTTCGTGACACCCTTTTTGCCCACTATTTCAAATCACTAGCCCTCACCCACCCGACATCCACTGCCCCTGCTCCATGTGTTTTTCCCAATGGCAATTCTCACTCGAGTTCTGTTTGTATTGCTCACTGTTGAACCCCTGGTACCTAGAAAGCACTAGTAAGTGCCTGATAAGCATGTCATGAATGAATGGCAGCACCGTAGAGAATGAATGGAGGAGAGCACTGTCATTTAAAGCGTGATCTTCACGACAGAATGAAAAGACATTATATCGCTCAGTGTGTGATTCAGAGCAGCTACTAACTGTTTTTCACAGGAAGACATTCTTGAGCAGAGCAGTTTCACAGTAATTTGTATTCTGATAATTCTGATAACACAAGCTTCTGATTTCCCCAGTGATAATTAACAGTCCACAGACCAGATAAGCCTAAAACTAGAGGCAAAAAGAATAAGTAAAAAAACTGTTACAAATGTTCAGGCCGAGTTGATTAAGGGAAAAGATATGATAAACTGGGGGGGGGGAATAGACTATATAAGATAATGAGAAAAAATGATGACTTTAGTTTTAGGTGTGGGTGAAAAACTAGATGGTAGCCTATGGGAGTTCAGATCTAAGTTTCTCAACCCCAGGGATTTCAAACAGTCTTACAACTTAAGAAATATTTACATCAATGTCTCACATATATGCGTTCAAACACAAATGCAACATATGAATCAACAATTTATAAAAGCCAGTAAAAATAAGAAAAGACCAAAGTGGATGTCTGAAGAGACTCAGAAACCTGCACTGGAACACAGAGAAACCAAAATGAAAGGAAGAAATGTTGTAGTTAAAGCACTCAACAGAAGATTTCAAGGGACAGCTCAAGAATACAAAGCAAAGTAGGACAGAAAAATGTGCAAAGATGTTAAATGAAATACCAAAAATGAACAAGTTCAACATTTCTCATGCTGCAAGAAGAGAAGAATAAAAAATTAAGCCTGAATTGCAATACTGTATGATTCTGTGGGTAAAATCTTGAATGATGCAAGAAGCATCAAAAGAAGGTGGAAAGAATTTAGTCACTGTATCAAAAAGAATTGGTTGACACTGAATCATGTCAGGAAGTAGTATATGTTCAAGAACCAATAGAATCAAAGGAAAAATCCAAGTGGCACTGAAAGCCCTGGCAAAAAGTAAAGCTCCAATATCAACCAAAGTATTTCAACAGCTGCAGCCCTAGATGTGCTCACGCACCTAAGCTATTTGGAAGATAGTTACATCACTAAACAGCTCAAATAAATCTGAATTTCTGCGCATCCCAAAGAAAGGTGATCCAAAAGAACGCTGAAATTACTGAAAAATGTTATTATCATACGCAAGTAAAATCTTGCTCAAATTACAGGAAACTGACAGAAATTCAAGCTGGATTCAGAAGAGACTGTGGAAGAAGGGACATCACTGTTAATGTCAGAAGGATCTTGGCTGAAATTAGCTAATGCTATAAAAATGCTTACTTGTGTTTTATTGACTATGTGAAAGTATTCAACTGTGTGGCTCATAAATTTTGGATAATACTGACAAGAATGGGAGTTCTAGAACACTTAATTTTGTTCATGTTGAACTTATACATAGATCAAGCAGCCTTTTGGACAGAACAAAGGGATACTACATGGTTTAAAATGAAGAACGATGTCATCAGCCTTGTATCCTTTCACTATATCTGTTCAGTCTATATGTTGAGCAAATAATTCTAGAAGTTATATCATACAAAGAAGAATGTGGCATCAGATTGGACATCAATAATGTATGCAATATATACAACCTCGTTTGTAGAAAGAGAAGACGCCTACTTATTGGAGTAACTGAATTGCTCAGGACAACAGAAACATTCTTCCACGAATACTATTAGATCACTATCAAGACGTACCAGAACCTGACTTAATGCCTCCCATCTATCTCTGGTTGAATCCGCCATCTTTGGCCTGCATTCGCCATTTGCTCACACTTGGCCACCTTGCTTCATTCAGGTCTTTAGCCCATGATTTAGTCTCAACACAGAGGATCCTTTTAAAACATAGGTCAGATTGTTATCATCCCTCTGAGCACAGTCCTTCCCCTTCCCCAAGTTTTACCTGTTTAATACTAAGGAAATTCAAAGTCCTTAGCACGGCCAAACAACTCTACATTCTCTGACCCCATCCCACTCTGATCTCATTTCCTCTACTCTCCCCCCTTACTCATTCAGCTTCAAACTATGCTTTAATATTATAATGTATCGACCACTGAGGACAAAAGGGCCATAATTACCCTCTTCTCACTCATGGAGGTTAAAGTGTTCTATCAGGGACAAGCTAGAACTAGTAAAGAGAAGACTTAACTCTACCCATCTAGCCGGTGTTAATGATTGTTATTGTTGCTATGTGCTGTCGAGTCACTTGCAACTCATAGCATGTACAACAGCCCTCAAATCTGCTCTGTCCTGTGCCAATCGCACTGATTACCCCAGTCACCGAATCAATACATCTCAAAGAGGGTCTTCCCCTCCTGCACCTGTCCTCCACCATTCCAAGCATGATGTCCCTCTCCAAGGACTGGTCTCTCCTTGCAACATCACCAAAGTATGTCAAACAAAGCCTCAGAATCCTTGCCTCCAAGAAGCAGCCTGGTTTAACCCTTTACAGGATGAATCTGTTTGCTTAGCAGTCCATTGTACCCTCAATACACTTCTCCAACACCACAACTCAAAGGCATCAATTCTCCTTCTATCCCCCCTAGTCACTGTCCAGCTCGCTGATGCATAACAAGTGACTGCAAAGACCTTTCTTAACTTCTCCCAATAGTAGTCACATCTTTTTCCCCCAACACAAATTCATAACCTATTAAACTGTCCAAAAACGATTAGAACAGCACATCAGCAGAGAACTGCCGGAAGTCCAGGCTGGGTTTAGAAGGGGTCGTGGTACTAGGGATATTGTTGCTGATGTTAGATGGATCTTGGCTGAAAGCAGAGAATACCAGAAGAATGTCTATCTGTGTTTCATTGATTATGCAAAGGCATTTGACTGTGTGGATCATAACAAACTGTGGCTGACTCTGAGAAGAATGGGAATCCCAGAACATTTAATTGTGCTAATGCGAAACCTATACTTGGACCAAGAGGCAGTAGTCAGAACAGAGCAGGGTAACACTGCATGGTTCAAAATTGGAAAGGGTGTGCGCCAGGGATGCATCCTGTCTCCATACCTTTTCAACATGTATGCAGAGCAGATTATCCGAGAGGCTGGGCTCTATGAGAATTGTGGCATCAGGATTGGTGGAAGATCTATTAACAATCTGTGTTATGCAGATGACACAACCCTGCTTGCTGAAACTGAGGAGGACCTCATGCACTTGCTGCAAAGGGTCAAGGACTGCAGCCTTCAGTATGGACTGAGGCTCAGTGTCAAGAAGACAAAGATTCTCACCACTGGACCAATTGGCAGCGTCAGGATGGATGACGAAGAGATTGAGATTGTTCACAGCTTCAGTTTGCTCGGCCCCACAGTCAACACTCTTGGCACCAGCAGTCAGGAAATCAAAAAGCGTATCGCGATGGGAAAGTCTGCTGTTAGGGACCTCTCTAAAGTACTCAGGAGCAACAGTGTCTCTCTGGAGACTAAGGTGCGCCTGATACAGGCCATGGTCTTTGCAATCGCTTGTTATGCATCAGAGAGTTGGACAATGACTAGGGAGGACAGAAGGAGAGTGGATGCTTTTGAGCTGTGGTGCTGGAGAAGAGTACTGAATGTACCATGGACTGCAAGGAAAACAAACAGATTCATCTTGGAGAGGATTAAACCAAGCTACTCCTTGGAGGCAAGGATTCTGGGGCTTCGTCTGACATACTTTGGACATGTTGCCAGGAGGGACGGGTCCTTGGAGAGGGACATCATGCTTGGGAGGGTGGAGGGACAGCGCAGGAGGGGAAGACCTTCTATGAGATGGATTGATTCTGTGACTGGGGTAATCGGGATGGGTGTGTCAGAGGCGGTGCGGTTGGCGCAGGATAGAGCAGGGTTTAGGGCTGTTGTGCATAGGGTCGATATGAGTCGCAAACAACTCGACGGCACATAACAACAAGAACAACAACAAATAATATATAAACATTCTACTTTCATTACACTATGTAAGAAACAACTATATTATTCTATATAGAGAATAATTTCTATTTTAAAAAAAGATGAACTAGAAACACATACTTCACTTCCATTGCTTCTCACATATATCTTGTATATGAAATCGCAGTCATAATCATCATACTCAAATCCTTCATTTTCTCCATTTTCAGTAATCAATGGGTGAGAAATGCTAACAGTGATTTGATTTTCCTTTCTTCTGACATCTACGGTAGGTGGTCCAACTTTCCCTGGCCGGGGGGGGGGGAGGGAAATCGTATTAGTATTCATCTTTGGTGTTTATGGTTCATTAAATAAGATTACCAAAATCAACTTACTTTTAAATTTTTGCTGTTCTAAAGCATGACCACATTAAAATTATTTCACAAAGACTTAGAAGATACTCTTAAGTGTCCTTAAGAAAAAAACAGTTCAATAAATCTTAGCAAGAAACACTCTTATTTAATCTAAACTCCTTCTTAGTAGCCTAGTTTAATTTCCAGTCCTAAGAACAAACAGCTGTTCATAAACATTGCTTTAAAAGTACAATAAAAGTTCTAGAAATTACTTAAGGCATTTATTTTTGCTTAATTTAGAAAAGTTTCAGAAAAAGTATTATAGTTAACTGAACTCTGACTGAAATTGTCATCTCCAACACCACTGCATGTCCCGGTATTAATGACTGAAAAAGTGCTAAATGCAATCACTGTCTATTGTGAATATCAGAACTGGCTCCTCAGCCATTCAGTAACTAGTTATTTTGTGTCTGGTGTTTAGGATCTTTCTGAGGAAGTAATAGTCCATTTCTCACATATCACTGAGCACAGACTTTGAGACAGGCTGGTTCCTTATTTCTTTTTTTCTTTCCTTCTAAAATTCTTCTTAGGAAAAAAAATCTCAAAAGATTCAAGTGTAAAGAGAAAATAGTACAATGATACTACATATTTAAAAACCAAGATTTAATAATGACTAATCATTATACATATTTGCTTTTCTATTTTTTTCTGTGACAAAGATATTTTCCCTATTCTACCATTTTTTCTTTTTTAAAAAAAGAAAACTGTTTAGGGAGCTCTGGTGGCCTAGTGGCAAGAAGCTGTACTGCAGTCCCAGAGGTACATGGTTCGAATAAACCAGATGCTCTGCTGGAGATGGAGGGGCAATCTCCTCCTGTACCAGTCAGATCTGATTTGACGGTTCACACACACAAATAATAAAATTTAAAAAACAAAACAAAAAAAATCCCTGTTTAACATTATCTTTTTTAAAAAATTACACTTAAGTGAAAATTATACACCAAATTAATTTTTTATTAAACCACTCATAAACATTTCATCCTGTAATGGTAACCTCTATAACCAAGAAGAAATCACACTATTCCTACTTCTTCCCTGAGATTCTGATTTTCATTCATCCCAATGTTATCTCTTATAGCTCTTTTTTCAAATCAGGTTTTAGGTAGGGGTTATATGTATTGCAGCTGGCTAAAACCTCTTTTCATTTTATTTAGTTTATCTCTGACCTATATTTATGACACTGGTTTATTGAGGAGATTGTAAAAGGAATCACAGGGTTGATCGCATCTTCTGATTACTTTCAATCATTGGCTTACTTCCTTGCCTGACTTGTTCTTCTAAATGCTATACAGGTAGGTCCACTTTGATCACCCATGTAGCCTCAGGGTTAGCATACTTTTGGGCACAGAAGACCAAGTAGTCCCTGTGATAAACCTTCCTGAGAAAATAAACAAAGATAACAAGGGTAGGGACTCTGGAACAAAAACATTTAAAAAGTAGGAAAAGAAAAGGTGTACTGAAGAGACCAGAGAGGCAATCTGCAAAGCAGGAGGAGAGGCAAGGCAGCAGTGTAAGTGACAAAGCAGGAAAGCTTCCAGGGACAGCAACAAAGCCAGAAGAGAAAAGACTAAAGAAAGGGGCCAAGCAACGAGAAGCTTCTTTTACCCAGGAGCCAGGATTTGAGAGCTCGCAGGTCAAATATCAATCAGAAAAAAAGGGGGAAGAGAGGAAAATAACAACAATGAATGAATGAATGGAAACCCCGGTTTTCTGTAAACTTTTGCTACAATATCACTAAAATAAAATAATAATAATTTTTAAAAATCGGCGGGGGGCGGGGAGGGGGAGGAATTGGCACAGAAGATGCTGGAGCTGGAGGCTCTAGCAAAGATCAGGCATCCAAACTACCAGCATGGGGACAGCCATATCAGATCTCAACTGACTCCACCAGAGGGAACTGTCCCCATCAGCAACATCAGCATCACAAAAACAATTCCCATGAGATCAGACATGTCCCCTGTGGTCCCACATCTATTTCTCCGAATTCTGACACCAATCCTACAGGGTCTGAAATTTGTTGTAATAGCTACACAGACTATACTGAACCATACTCACAGTTATAAGGTTTATTAGGAAAGTTAACATGTTGTCATTCAAGGTGGCAACAGAATACAATTTCTCAGTCAGGACAGTTTCTAAAGCATGCTCGCAGACGCTTTCAGCCTCATAGCTTCAGGCCAGTGTTACTAAGCTATGCCAGTTAAGGTGTCTTCCCTAAGCCCAGCAAGCTTGGGCTAAGGCTTCTGGTTCTGTAAAATAGTAGCCCTGGGTCCACTCTGTCCCACGTTGGGCCTGTGGCTCTCTGCTGAGGTTGCCGTTACTCTCCAGTAGGTCTGGCCAATGCAAGAATCTCTGGCCGTGAAGGGTGCTAAGTGCATGCTCTGCTGCTGCTTTTCTAGTAGTGAGATTCTCAATATCTGCTGCTGTGAACTTAATGGCAGGAGCTAAACCCTTATGACTAGACCGATATACCCTATTCACATGTCCCTGTAAATTCATAAAAAGAGGATGAGGTAAAAATGACTGGTGCTGGGAAGTACATTTCAAAAGATCACTCACTACCATCAAGTGAACTCCAACTCAAATCTTTATGAGAATTAGAAATCTTTATGGGAGAACACTGTCCATCTTTTTTTCCCCAAAGAGCCACTGGCTGATTCAAACTGCCACAGATGCACTCAGCCTTTTTCTTAGCAGCACATCAAAGTATGGACTAAGCCAGTCTTTCTCTCATTGCCAATTGAGTTGGAATGCCTTCATAGAGGGTCTGAATGGGTTCAAACCCACTACAGTGGGTTTGTAGAGGCTGCAAATTAAAAGGAAGGAGATTGTGCATCTTTCTTCAAGAACCATTGGTGTATCTGAACCCCTAGAGAGGGGCCCCAGCCTTTGGGTGGGCACCACCACTCCCTACAGCCAAGGTCACCAGAGCTCCCTAAGCCAGCAGTAAACTGATAATAACATTTCCCTCAGGCACTGAAAGGACTGAAGGTAGAAAAGAATGAGTTAGCTAGTAACATCCTCAACAACTTAAGAAGTGAATGGCAGAGAGCACAGGGAAGGACAGAGAGACAGTGTTCAGTGAGATGACACTGGATCCATTGTTGCATGGACAATATAATGGCTTTTTGTTGTGTATTGCTGAGTCTGAATTGACCCTGTGGTGGCAGGCTTTCAGAGGCAGTTAATTGCACGGAAGGAGATTGTCCATCTTTCTCCTGTGGAGCAGCTGGTGGATTATAAATGTGTGCCTTTGGGATTGCAGTTCAGCTTCTTACCACTAGGCTACCAGTGCTCCCCATATAAGGGCTCAGAGGGAACACAGATGGTTGTGTCTTATCCTTATTTATGGAGCTTGAGACAAGTGGAAAATACTGACCTTCCCAAATACACCTTGTTTTAATAATTTGTAGCAAATGATAATACAGAACATCCAGGTAAGTGGCTTAGTAAGTATTTTTAAATTTAAAATTTAAGAAAAAAATATTTAAACATGTAACATTTAACTCACCATCAGAACACATAACAAATTCTTTTGTTTCCACATAGTCAGATTCTCTTTGTCCAACCCTAGCTTTAACTTTGGCCCAAAAAGAAATCGATGGATCTTTAATTTGTTGATAAAGATTGCACTGATGATCTGAAATATTAACACAGGCATCAAGCCAGATCCCATTCCTAAAACAAGGACAGCAAAACACAAAAGGTTAACTTCTTTGGTAACTTGACATATACACTTGAAACTTCTCTATTTTGCTTTTCATTTGTAGTACAGAGCAGGCATTACAACAAGAGGACAGAGAAGTTTTTTATTCAGCAGTATCAACTACTTGACAATTGTTGATGCTGTTAGCTGCCTTAGAGTTGAGTACAACTCTTAACCACCCTATGAACAACAGATCTGAACCCAGGCCTATCTTGTGTCAACCTCACAATCTGACCAATTCAAGCGTACTGCACTGTAGTCACTGTGTCAATACGCCTGGCTGGCTCTTTCTCTTCTACCATCCCCCCACATTCTAAGCATGATGTCCTTCTCCAGAAAACAGCCTTTCCAAGCAACATGACCAAAGGATGCGAGATGAAGCTTTGCCATCCGTGCGTCCACGGAGCGTTCTGGCTGCACCTTCTCCAAAACGTACCCGCTTGTTCTTTTGACAGTCCACGGGACATTCAGCACTCTTATCCAACATCACAGTTCAAAGGCATTGATTCTTCTCCTGTCATCTTTATTCATTGTTCAGCTCTAAGCAGCACAGCAAGTGACTGAAAGACCGTGGTCTGAGTCAGGCACACCGTTGTCCTCAAACTGATATCATTGATGTAGACTTTCCCAGTATAATATGTCTCCTGACCTGAACACTGGTACCAAGGGTACTGATTGTGGATTCAAGGGAGACAAAGTGGTTAACAGTTTCAATCTTTTCTCTATCTATTATCATGACGCCTGTTGGTCCAGCGTTTTTTGTTTTCTTCATGGTGAGATACAATTCATATTAAAGGCTGTATACTCTTTCATCTTCTGCAGAAAATGTTTCAAGTCCTTTTCATGTTCATCAAGCAAGGCTGTGTCATCTGCATACAAAGATTGCTGATGAGTCTTCTTCCAATCCTGATGCCACATTCTTCTTCATTGAGTCCAAATTCTCAAATAATTTGCTCAGCATGCAGAATAGGTATGGTGAAAGGATACAACCTTGAGGGGCACCTTTTTAAATTTTAAACCATGTAGTATTCCTATGCTGTGTTCACACAATAGCTTCTTGGTCTAGGTCTAGGTTTTGCATGAACACAATTAAGTGCTCTGTGATTCCCATTCTTCTCAATATTACTCATCATTTTTTATAATCCACACATTCAGTGCTTTTGTACAGCCAATAAAGCACAAATAGACATTCTTCTGGTATTCTCTCCTTTCAATCAGTATACACTTGACAACAGCAATGATATCCCTGCTGCCATGGCCTCTTCTAAATCCAGCCTGAGCTTCTCCCAGTTCTCTCTGTACTATTTATTCTAGCTGGTTTTGCATGATCTTCAAAACTTTACAATAAAGAGGCACATCAGTGAGTCAAAACCAATCCATAGATGACCCTCCAGAGAGTTTTCAGAGGTAGTTAATCACAAGGAAGGATACTTCCCATCTTTCTCCCATGGAACAGCTGGTAGATTCAAACATATTACATACACACCTAATTTTAAAAAATTTATTCTTAAAGCAACTAGGTTGCTTGCATTTATACCTGCAAGTTATTGTAAAATAACTGGGAGTTCTGGTGGTGTAGATGGGGAGAGGTGCACTGCTAACCCAAAATGCTGCACTCTGCTGGTGTTTGGAATCCATCCGTGGTTCTGACAGAGAGACATGTCATTTGCTTCTCTGTGATTTACAGCCTTCAAAACACAAATGGAATGTCACCTATGAGTTGATTCTGAGTCGATGACAAAAAGTATATCAGTGAGTGAAATAAAGCACAACAGAAAGACTCCCAAAACGTTTCAAAAACTACAAAGCTTCATTTTTACCTTTCTATTAAAAATATTTGTTTTTAAAAAATCAAATATTGACTTTTTCAATCAGATGTTGATAAACTGAAACTGTCAATGAGCTCATCTTCCCTGGATCTGTAATCAATACACTTGGCACCAGCAGCCAGGAGATCAGGACTTGTATTGCACTGGAAAAGTCTATAGTTAGGAGCCTCTCCAAATTACTGAGAAGCAATATGTCAGTTTGTGAGGACTAAGGTGTGCCTGATTAACGGTATGGTCATTTCAATTACTTGCTTTGCTGCTGAGAGCTGGACAATAAATAAGGATGACAGCAAAAGAATTGATGTCTTTGAACTGTGTTGCTGGAGAAGAGGGCTGAATATTCCACGGACTGGCCAAAGAACAAACAGGTATGCCTTGGAAAAGGTGTAGCCAGAGAGCTCCTTGGAGGCAAAGATGATGCAGCTTTGTCTCACATACTTTGGGCATATTGCTAGAAGAGGTATTCCTTCCAGTTATCGTGCTTAGAAAAGTAGAGGGACAGCAAAGGAGAGGAAGATCTTCAACCAGGTGGACTGATACAGTGACTGCAGCAATGGGCTTGAGCATGTCAGAGATTGTGAGGATGGCACAGGACTGGACAGTGTTCAGATCTGTTGTACACAGGGTCTGTATGAGTAATACTAGACTCGATGGCACCAAACAACATTAGAAAACATACTGCATCAAAGGAGAAAAGATAGCAACATTTTATGCAGAACTATATACCATGACAATAAAAATCCACACCACTGGACAAAGAGACAAGAAGACAGAGAAAATATTCAAGTTGTCTGTAATTTCATTTTATTTGAATCCACGATGAACACTCATGGTATCAGTAGTCCCCACCCCCCCCAAAAAAAAGCTGCAATGAGAAAAATGTGCTACCAAGGAACTCTCCAAATTGCTGAAGACCAGGGCTATCAGTGTAAAGACTAGGGTACGCCTGATCCAAGCCATGGTCATTTCAACTGCTTTCTGTGCATCTGTGAGTTATAGAATGAATAATGAAGCACAGATGCTTCTGAACTGTGGTCTTGGACAAGAGCACCAAATACCCCATGGACTGCCAAAGAACAAACAAGTGTGTCTTGGAAGAAGTGGAGGTGGGGTGTCCCTAACGTGCAAGGATGGTAGAACTCCACTGCACAGACTTTGGGAATGTTGTCAGGAGGAGCCTTGGAAAAAGACAGCATGCTGGGAAAGATGAGGGGCTGCCACAGAGAGGCTCTTGCTCATATGTTGTTTCATGAAATTCTTCCGTGTCTGCCAATTCCTTTCGATACAGTCACTCAGTATATTCTTTCCATCTTCTTTTAATACTTCCTGGATCATTTAATAATCTGCCTAAAGCATCCTTGATTATAGCAACTCGAGGTTTGAATTTGTTCTTCAGTTTGTTGAGCTTAAGAAATGCTGAGCAAGTTTGGCCTTTTTGATTTTCTGACTCCAAATCCTTGCACATTTCATTGTAATATTTTACTTTGTCATCCCACGGTGCCTTTTGAAAACTTCAACTCTTTAGTATCTTGAATTCTTCCTTCGGCTTTGGCTTCTCTGCACTCCAGTGCAATATTCAGAGTCTCTTCTGACATCTATTTTGGTCTTTTTTTCCTCTTCTGTCTTAGCAATGACCGTTTGCACTCTTCCTGGATGATACCCTTGATATCCTCCCACAGCTCATCTGGTCTTCGCCCATTAGTGTCCAAGGCCTCAACCCTGTTCCTGAGATGGTTCTGAAATTCAGGGGGGATGAAATCAAAGTCATATTTTGGTTCCTGTGGATTCGATTTCATTTTCTTCAGCTTCAGCTTGAACTTGCATATGAGTAGTTGGTGGTCTGTTCCACAATCAGCTCCTGGCCTAGTTTTCACAGCTGATACTGAGCTTCTTCAGCAGTTCTTTCCACAGATGTAATCGATCTGATTCCTATACATACCATCAGGTGAAATCCATGTATATATCCTGTGTTTATGTCTCTTAAAAATGTATTTGCAATGAATAAGTCATTGATTCTGCGAAATTCAATCATTCTCTCTCCAGCTCCATTTTTGTCACCGAGTCCATGTTTTCCAACTACTGAATCTTCTTCTCTGTTCCCAATGTTTGCATTCCTGTCACCCATTATTATCAATTCATCTTAACTGCATAATCGATCGACTGGAAGAGATCTATGTTTGTTCCCATCCCAAAGAAGGATGACCCAACAGTGTGTGGAAACTATGCAACAATATCATTGATTTCACATGCAAGCAAGATTCTACTGAAGATTATCCAAAAACGACTGGAACAGTACATCAGCAGAGACCTGCCAGAAGTCCAGGCTGGGTTTAGAAGGGGTTGTGGTATAAGGAATATTGTAGCTGATGTTAGATGGATCTTAGCTGAAAGCAGAGAAGACGAGAAGAATGCATATCTGTGTTTCATTGATTATGCAAAGGTGTTTGACTGTGTGGATCATAACAAACTGTGACTAATTCTGAGAAGAATGGGAATCCCAGAATGCTAGATCATGCTAATGCTAAACCTATACTTGGACCAAGAGGCAGTCGTCAGAACAGAGCAAGGAAACACTGCATGGTTCAAAATTGGGAAGGGCGTATGCCTGGGATGTGTCCTGTCTCCACACCTTTTCAACTTGTATGTAGAACAGTTTATCTGGGAGGCTGGGTTCTCTGAGGAGAAAATTGGGGTCAGGATTGGTGGAAGATCTATTACCAATCCGTGATATGCAGATGACACAACCCTACTTACTGAAACTGAGGAGGACCTGAAGCTCTTGCTGCAGAGGGTCAAGGACGGCAGCCTTCAGTACGGACTGAGGCTCAATGTCAAGAAGATAAAGATTCTCACCACTGGATCAACTGGCAGCATCAGGATGGTGAAGAGATTGAAATTGTTCATAGATTTAGTTTGCTTGGCTCCACAGTCAACACTCTTGGCACCAGTAGCCAGGAAAATTAAAAGACGTATTGCGATGGGTAAGTCTGCTGTTAGGGACCTCTCCAGGGTACTGAAGAGCAATGGTGTCTCTCTGGAGACTAAGGTGCATCTGATACAGGCGATGGTCTTTGCAATCACTTGTTATGCATTTGAAAGTTGGATAATGACTAGGGAGGATAGAAGGAGAATTGATGCCTTTGAGCTGTGGTGCTGGAGAAGAGTATTGAATGTACCACGGACTGCTAGGAAAACAAACAGATTCATCCTGGAGACAGTTATACCAGGCAGCTACTTGGAGGAAGGACTCGGAGGCTTCATCTAACATACTTTGGACATGTTATAAGGAAGGACAGGAAGGACCGGTCCTTGGAGAGGGACATCAGCTTGGTAGGGTGGATGGACAGCGCAGGAGGGGACGGCCCTCTATGAGGTGGACTGATTCAGTGACTGGGGTAATCGGGATGGGCGTTTCGGAGACGGTGCAATTGGCACAGGACAGAGAAGAGTTTAGGGCTGTTGTACATAGGGTCGCTATGAGTCATAAACGATTTGACGGCACAGAACAACAACAACAACAACAACAACAGGTGGAACACATTAGCCACTCTGAGGGCGACTGATAAGGGAGTCTCTTCCCATTAAGATTTACAACTTCAGAAACCTGATAGAGGGTCACCTAGAGTAGGGACTGATTTCACACCAGTGGGTTTAGTTTTTGTTTATTTAGAAAAGTACAAGTGTGTATCCTTAGCCTTTCCGGATGTCTATCAGCAGTTCTGGAAGTTGTACCATTTGGAAAGGAAGGATGAGGGAAACAGAACACTGAGAGGAAATGTATAGCAAGCTAAACAGAACTGACTAAAAGGGGGGAAACCAGTAATACTTACCAATAGGTCTTCACCTGTACAGTGAAAACAGGGCTTGGCACCGTCATCTCATAATCCCAATACAGGACAGGATGCATGTCATAGGATTCAATTTTAATGTTGGTCGGTACAGGAACTGTAATGAGAGATTGAAAAAGCAACATCAATAATAGCAAGAAGCTAGTATTAACATTAAAAAACGGTACGTGACCCATGCTAGTCAAATATGTATATTTGGGAAAAAACCCCAGAATCTTCTGGAATATGTAATTATTTAAATGAAACTGTAGCTGTTAGGTGCCGTCACATTGAGTATGACTCTCTTAACAACAGATCTGCACCTTGTCCTACTATATGCCATCTTCATCATCTCTGATACATCTGAGACCTCTGTCCTTAATTTACCTTGTCATCAATCCTGCTGAGAGTCTTCTCTTTTGCAGATTCCCCCCTACTTTTCCTACTATGATGTCTTTTTTTCAAGCACTGGTTATTTCTAACAACATGTCCACAGGATGTGAGACCAAATGTCATCATCCTTGTCTCTAAGGAGCATGCTGGTTGTACTTTCTTCAAGACAGATTTGTTTGTTGTTTTGGCAATCCCCACAACTCAAAGGCATTAATCACTGGATTGTACAATTTGTTGGGGGTGTGTGTGTGAGGGAAATTGAAAGAATTTGTTTGAATTTGTATTAGAATTTTGTAAATAAATTA